ATGGATGGATGGATTGCATTAAAGGGGTTTAAGAAACAATATTTTCTTTAGAAAAAAGGAGGAACATATGTTTCCTCCTTTCAACATCTCAAGTTGTTTTCTTGTTGTGCCACACAAGTATGAAGAAACTACTGTGGTATAAGCCGTGAGAAAATACAACCTTGTTTTTCTCCCTTTCAAACACAAGACAGTACTTTTGTATCTATAGGAAGATGTGAGGGTATTGAGAGTCATTAAAAAAACAGTTTAAGAAAATAATCACAATTTGAAAGATAAAAAATAAATAGCAGCTCTTACAGAAGTGACTCATATTTTATCGACTCTGCTACTTGTGAATCAACAGTTGAAAACGAAAACCACACACACACCTACACACACACACACACACACACACACACAAAATGGTTACAGTGAAACAGAAAACCAAAAGAGTGTGTAAGAACTGGGTCATGCTTGTGGTACCTTAAATGTGTCATTTAACATTTTAAAATGCAACTGAAAAGGTTTCTAGTCGCAATAGTGGCAAAGTTCTGGGGAGGATTCAGAGTCCTCATGACATCAGTGGCATCTTTAGGGTCCGAATTTAAATTTGTCCAGCACTCTAAGACAGCAAGATAGCCTAGCATTTTTGGATTTACCTGATTGTGAGTGCTAGAGGTTTAACAAGAAAATGACAGCCTCACACATCTGGTAGCTTGGCTGTAGATTCTTACCAGAGCTCGATTACAGCATAAAGGGCTTAATAATGAGTGTGACCGGCAACAAATAAAGTTTCTGATCAGTTAGGATCATCAATCACATATTTTGGCAGAATGACTCTTATCTTTTGATTAAGCACTGTTGAACTACATCCCATTGAAGCTAATTTTGTAATACCTACAAGTCAGCTTCAGATCTCACTCCACATTATTCTGGCTTTTTCCACAAGGCAGCACCCATTTCTCTTTGTACTTAAACTGTTCATGTATGTTAAAGGCTTTTAGTGCTTCACACTGTCGGATGTTTGCATGAATATGTGCTCTTGTCAGAACATTTAGATACAGTCCACCCCTGTCTCTCACAGACAGTCAGTTACTGTATCTCCCACACAGTTTGACACGCTCACTTACGTTCAACAAATCATGCAGGCCAAAGGAGAGGATAACCCAC